TGTCTGGTGGGATCATTGTGCTAGCCTACATTTTAGGTGGGCTTTGTACTATTTCTGCAGTCTATGTTATTTTCCTACACTGGTTCAAAGCCAGTGCACGGAACCACTGAGCTGTTTCTTCAGCTCTGAGTCTCCCCTACCAACCCCACCCCCCACATTTTTAAAGAAAGTTTGTGCTCAGAGTTAGAATCCCAATATATGTCCCATATATTCAAGGTTGAATTTCCAAATTGAATTCCAATGAGAGATCAGGAGAGAAAAGTCTCCACTATCATATCTAGAAACCTCCCCCTCCTGGGACAGTGGGGGTGGGGGGAATCAATGGTTTAGTGTATTCAAAATAGCCCGACACCTTATTCAGGAATTGTAGTAAAGTGGCCCACACTGCTCTCTCCAGGAGTACCCAGAGACAATGACAGGCCTGAAGTAGACAGCCCTCCACAATTTTTACAGCTGAAAGACAGGCTTGTGTCTCTCAAATCCAGTCCTGTCTTGGGTGATTTCTGGATGGGGACTGTTAGGGGAAAAAAAAAAAAGATTCTCTCATTGCTAGATCCCAGATTTGGCTTCTAGGGCAAAGGTAAAGTATTATTGTTACCGGGGAGTTCGGGTAACTCCCCAGTGGAACAATTCCAAAAGTCAGAAGCAGAAGACGTATGGACCATGGGTTTAGATTTACTTATTTGGGACTCGCTCTTGAGGTCTTTTCTGAAAAGAAAATGTAAGGTCTTAATTTATTCTCTTATATTTTACTGTGAGTATTTTTTGAAATACTGGGTTTTTATTTTGGACAGATTCGCCCAATTAGTAATTGCTCTGGGTGATTTTTGTCAACTTGGCATAAACTAGAGTCACTTGGAAAGAGGGAAGCCTAATTGGGGAATTGTCCCCATCAGATTGGCCTGTAGACAAGTCTGTGGGACACTTTCTTGATTAATGATTGATGTGGGAAGGCCCAAGCCCACTGTGGGTGGTGTCAGTTCTGGGCAGGTGGTCCTGGGATATATAAGAAAGCAAACTGAGAAGATCATGAGGAAGAAGCCAGGAAGCAGCATTCCTGTAGGGCAGTGGTTCTCAGCCTTCTTAATGCTGTGACCCTTTAATATAGTTCCTCATGTTGTGATGACCAGCCACCATAAAATTATTTTCATTGCTACTTCATAACTGTAATTTTGCTAGTGTTACAAATCATAAACACCTGACATGCAGAATATCTGATATGTGACCCCAAAGGGGTCGCAACCCACAGGTTGAGAACCACTGCTTTATGGTCTCTGTTTGTCCCTGCCTCCAGGTTCCTGCTTTGGCTTTCCTTGGTGAGATGGTGGCCGGTAACCTGTAAGCCAAATAAACCTTTCCCTTTGCTTTGGTTAGTGTTTTATCACAGCAACAGAAAGCAAATTATGACAGTAATTCCCTAGAGTCTGATAGCTATCAGGGTACTTAATAAGTCCCAATAGGTCCTCTTTAAAGCTAGTTACATGAATGACTACCTCTGTAGGTCTTTAGGGGAACTAGGTCCCTAGCTGAACAGGGTTTGGATGAGAATCCTGGGAAGGGGTTGGTAGAAATGTGTTTTGTTACACAACTAAGTAATTTACTTTTTGGTTATACATTCCTCCTTGGTATTTAAGACCATGTAGGTAGCCAAAAATTAACATCATAATCATCATCATCGCCAGCCAAGACTGTGTAGGGATGACCCTTAGAGACCTAGTATAAGTAGGTTTCTAAGGAGCATCCCCAGGACGCCTTTAATTTTTTTTTTCTATCCAGTTGTGTTATCTGGACTGGGTCCAGGTCTTGCTGACTACGTGGCTTCCCTTGGAAGCCTCGAGGATACTTTTCTCTGTAATTAAATTACCCTGATCTTTACAGAATGTACACTGACTACAGCCGGACCACTGGGTCTCCATGACCTCTCTGATAAAAACAGCAGGCGACTCACCAGTCCGAGGTCCTAGCAGCTGGCCTGGAGAAAAGGCGAACATGGAAAGGGGGTTCTTTTTGAAGGCCCTTCCTCTTTATTAGTCTTGGTGTCTTATGGCTGTTGGAAACTTGGAGGGTCAGACACACCAGTCCTAGAGAGTGAGGAGGGACTTAAAATGAGCTGTTGTGTAACATTCAGAGCAGTGGTCCTTACCCTTCCTAATTCTGCAACCCTTTAATACAGTTCTTCATGTTGTGGATCCTCAGCCACAAAATTATTTTCATTGCTATTGCATAACTGTAATTTTGCTACTGTTATGAACTGTAATGTAAATATTTGTGTTTTCTGGTGGTCTTAGGTGACCCCTGTGAAAAGGTCCTTTGACCCCAAAGGGGTTGTGACTCCCAGGTTGAGAACCACTGATTTAGATAAAGCGTATGAAGACAAACAGATTTTTTAAATAAATCTTGAGTCTGTTAAGACTCAGTTTCAGAAATCACTCAGTTAAAAATTGGCAATTATCCATGTAAAGAATGAATTAATTTCAGACATTTTTTACTCTAGTGATAATTGGAAATTTATATATCAATCCTGTTATATCTAAAAAAATGTTCATACAAGAAAAAGCATGATAATAAACATTATTACTTTAAAATAATAATAAAAACGATTACTTAAACCAGAAATAATGCAAATAATGAATTCTGCTCTCAAGAAGCATAAAGAAAAGCAACAAAATAAAACTATAGGAAGGAGAAAGACTTTAGTAAAAGTACAGGTTACATTAATTAGCTAGAAAAGAGCAGAATTTATAAATACATTGGAAATCTTAATAATACAATTTAAACACTTGTAAGACAAGACCTAAAGCAGAGATAAAACCAACATATTAAAAGACAAAGTGGAACCAAGGAAATGGAGAAGACTGCAGAGGAGTCAGTGTGTAAACTGAAAACTGGATAACTAATCCTGGGTATCATATCACCAAGACAAGCTAGGGAGATTAGTAAGCATGTAAAATCTTTAAGAGAAGACTCAGTTTCCTTGACAAACTTAGCAGAAAACACAATTATCTTGATGAAACATAAAAACTCTCTTTATCAAAAGCCAGTTATTATAAATGTTGCCAAGAGCAGATGAATAACTCAGTATTTTAGTGGGAAACTGGAGACTGAAGCCGAAAATTTGGACACGTGAAGTGTTGAATTCTTAACAATAATAACAGAGCAACGTTGTCGAGAGCAAAAGGCCAAAATGAAAAGCCAAAATAGAGAGCAAAACCGTCCACTGTCTACCAGGACAGAGAAATGTAGCAGTCATTTTATGCTCATTTTAAAAGTATGAACCTGATTCTCTCCTAAGCTCTCCTAAGCTCCTGAGTTGCCAGGGGTAACCCCAAGGCAAATATGTGGACTTGTCCAGTTAGCAAAACTCAGGTTTCAGGGTCCAGCTGAGTCTGCAGCTTTTTTGGGCTTCTTCCTGGGAAGAAGGTCTTTTAATATGCACAATGCTCAGGGCTGGGCACCCAGCAGCTGTTAGCATATTTCCCTCCCCCTCCCATCTTTTCAATTTTTCATTCTTTTCTTCTCCATCCTCTTCTTTCATGTCTTGTCTTTTCTGTTTAGAGAAGTGATAATATGTTACTATTTCAAACAGATAAGAATAAAATTGTGTAGCCAGGAGGTGGTGGCAACACACCTTTAATCCCAGCACTCGGGAGGCAGAGGCAGGCAGATCTCCGTGAGTTCAAGGGCAGCCTGCTCTACAGAGCAAGTTCCAGGACAGCCAAGGCTACACAGAGAAATACTGTCTTGAAAAAACAAAACAAGAATGAAATTGTGTTTTCAAACTAAGAAACATTATGAGTAAGCTATCCTTTTTCTATTTTTAATAAAAAAATGAGTTTAATTGCAAAAGGCATGACCTTTTTATTAGAGAAAAGAAAAAAATGAAGTTTCCTCCTTTTCCGCATCACCTAGATGTAATTTGGCTGATTTCTTTTTATCCATGGCGCCACATAAAGGTTTGACTTTAAACACAGGGATGGTGACACAGGAGAAGGATGTCAGCCAGTCAGAACCATGAAGGTGAATGAGAGTGACCACGGACTAACCAAGCCTTTGTGGTTTCCTCGGGATCCAAGCAACCCTATAACACTAATACCACCCAATATTTTCTAAGTCGCTCTGTGGCCACACATATATTATTAGCTTTTATATAAACATCTCATTTAATGTTGCACCAGATGTAAGAACCACCAGAGGGTTCCTGCGGCCTGGAGACTTAGTCTTCGCCACCTCCTTGATAAACTGGACCTTCTTCTCCTTCCCGGTCTCCTCCTGTGACGGGCTCCTCTGCCTACTTATTCCTGTGTAGGAACGTGCTTGGTTGTTTCAAGCTCTTTTTACCATGACAAAGCCGCATCCTCCATCTCCCCTTTACCCTCATGAACAATGCTGCCTCAGTCCAACCTGTTAGGCCTGACCTCTTCCGAACCATTCTAGAATCTTCTCTCTGGCTCTGTAGCTCCTCTCTTTATCAACTCCCCCTCCAGGTGAGTGCCAGGCACCAACGGTTTATTTGCACTTGAAAAATTAAAACAGCAACCCTGCATTTAGGGGCATACGAAGACAAAAGTCAGTAGTGGAGACCTAGATAAATAATTTGTTTTTGAAGGCTGTGGCTATGACAAGACCGCATAGATCACAATAGCTCACCTGAACATATTCTCTAGTTTATCCCCTAAGACTTCGGGGTTTCTAAATGGTTCAGTGAAGAGGTCAGAAGGTTTAAATCAGGCAGTACAAGTTTACAGACTTCTCTTCTCCCTGGCTCCTCCCTGTGGCCAGCACAATTACAAACTTAGGCGTTGACTTGGTCATCTTCTAAGACTCTGCCTCTCGGTGGATGTTTATATTTATAGAACATTCTACTAAAAACAATAAGGTTGTATTTTCTCCTGTTAACTCTAGGGTGTTAGGGAATCCTGCCTATCCAGAGGTAGTCAGTCTCTGGACTTTGTGAGGGGGAGCAGAAAGGTTTTTAGAAATGGAGTGCTGTTCCTTTAAATTCTGCAAGTGAACTTGGCTTAAGAAGGCCAGCAGCTCCAGGTCCAGCCCCTAGAAGACAGAACAGCTCCAGGCTCTCCATCCTCGGACTTTGCAAGGGGACAGTGGTGCCAGCTGGCTCGGGCAGGCTTCTGGCAGCATGGCAGTAAAGCTTGGGGCCTTCCTGCTGGTGTTTGGGCTCAGTGTGGTGTGGCCAGGGCCAGCTGCTGCCCACCGGAAGCTCCTGGTGTTTCTCCTCGATGGTTTTCGCTCAGACTACATCAGTGAGGAGGTCCTGGCGTCCTTGCCCGGTTTCAGAGAGATTGTGAACAGGGGAGTCAAAGTGGATTACCTGACTCCGGACTTCCCCAGCCTCTCCTACCCCAATTACTACACGCTAATGACCGGTGAGTACCTACCGCGTCCACTTCTTCGAGAGGAGGGTGCAGATGCCCTCCGACATTGGGAATCTTAATGTTTATATGTCCCGAGTCCCTCAGGACATGAAGGGTGGGCAGGAGTCTACGGTCCCAGCTAACTCTTTCATTTTGTCATAGCTGTGTTTTTCTACCAATGTCCTCCCAAGGAACGATTTTGCATTGTCTGTAAAGAGAAGAGAGGACAATAACAAAAAAACGGAAATTGGAGATTTAAAAAAGTGGTTATTGTTGTTTGCTTCATAGATTAAAAATAATTATAATGACATCACATCTTCTAAGTTCAGGTGTAGAAGATGGATGGACAGGTCTCTGGGAATCTATCCCAAGTCCCTCCGTCCCTTTCCTGCGGTCTGGATTCTTGCAGACTGACTTATCAATGTGTAAGACGGTGACCATTACTCTCAGGATCCCTTGGCAGGGAACTTCGTTTCTAGACGACTTGGAAGGAACATTTTAGGTCACACTCTTCAGTGTTCTCCAGCAATGCCTCCCTCTGCTTTGACCTTTTTGAGGGCCTTATAAAATGATACAGAGACGAATTGTTTTTGTTGTGGAATTCAGATTGTCCAGCATCTATGAAATGGGGGGGGAGCGTAGGCAAAATGTAAGCACAAACCCCTAAAGAAACAGACAAAATTCCAGCTGCTCATTCGGGAAAAGTGAATTTGGCTAAAGATGACCTCCCTCCATCTGGAATTGCCTGGATGTCAAAGGTGATTCCAGAAGGCTGAGCCTGTCTGTGTAATGATTCTTAACTTCTGTTTTTGTTTGTTTGTTTGTTTTTTCATCTAACCCTGCAAAATCAGCAAGAGGTGTTCAGAAAGTTTGGGGTTTTTAAAATTTTTTTTTCAGCCAGCTATCTAGGGAGGCTAAGAATGCAGTCATTGCGAGACTTCACTGTGTGCTCTGAACTCACAGAGAACTTTGAAATTACATTACCAGACAAGACTTGAAAACCGCGATATCTCATTAAATAGCTTTATGGAACTCCAAAGCCAAAGGAGTCTGAAAATATGCAATGGTGTCTTCAACTGTGTGTTCCAAACATAGAAACAATCCCATAAATGATGGTCAGAGAAAGGGGCCAGGAACCCTTGGATTTCTGTCTTGTATGGGTGTCCTAGGTATACACAAAGTCACCATGAGCTGACCCCCAAGATTAAAGGGAATATATACTTTGGAGAATTAGAAATGAAGATATGGGAAAGAAAAAACTCAGACTGCACACAAGCAAGGAATTTATTTGTTTCCCCATCTAACAGATAAACCAGTCTCTAAGATAAACAGTTAACAAAGGACTGACTATTGGCCTTCCCTTGGTCTGTCAGTCCATGCTCACTTGCTTGCTCATTGGGAAGCAGTTTGCAGGCTTCTGGGTTACACATAGATGCTATTGTGTGTCCCAACCCAGTTCTGCACGGGGAGTGTCACACACACAGGCCACCTCCCTCCACTTGTCTTTCAGAGCCTGCTGGGAGACACAATTCAAAAGCTGCCACGTGCAGCTTTTTCAGTTGCAGTGGAGAAAGAACAAAATCTGGTTTGTAAAGTCTGACCCCAGTAAGTAAAAAGGGGCTATTGCAAACCCACACAGACGTGGAGCCAGTGACATGGACGTTTGTTTTTCAGACCCACATGGCTGACATGGCACAGGATGAGTTTGCATGAAGTCTCTGTAAAGCAAATATACACACTTCTTTTCAGGCTATAGGTCTCTAGGGGATATGGGCTAAGTGATCCCATGAGCATTGTACATCCTCAGCCTGTGTTTCTTACTAGTCTCCAGAGAGAAAGCTATCCCATGGGGAAGGACTATAGCGCCAAGCACACAAAGCTCTCATCCTAATTTTGACAATAAAGCTAGCCAAAGGAGGAAGAGGAGGAGGAGGAGGCCACATATACCTTCTGTCTATAGATTTTTAGATGGTAAATACATTATCTGATTTGAAAGTCTTTTCTGTTTGTTTTTTAGAAATGATACTAGATGTAGGCTGTGGCCAGCCAGACTCACGTTTATATTGAGATGTCTTTGGATATGATTCATCCTGCACCTGAGGAGTAAACTCACAGTTTGGGGGAAGAATTTTCAGACTATGAAATCTACCTGTATCATTTTCACTGTCCAGTAACTGACCAAAGGACAAATTTAGACTTTTTTTCCACTTGATGTCAAGAAATTCCATTTGTGCTTGCTTCTAAGGAAGAATATACCCATTGACAATTCTATTTAAGCATATGGTTTGAGCATCTGAGCATTTTATAAACCAACAAAATTGTTAGGTAGATCATACCCAAAGATAGATTGTTGGGATTTCTCAGAATTCATGAGAGAAGCTGTTCTTGCTTCATTACGTGGATTAGTGTGCATAAGATCAAAAGCCCTTAATATTTTTTAATTTCACATAATGAAGGATAATGGACTGTTGGAAGGAAAACACTGCTGGCCTTGGAGTCAGAAAAACTTACTTGGAGTCCTTGCAGGAAGGACTTTGACAATCCTCTGATTGCCCTCAGCCTCTGTGTCCTCGACTCCAGTGTAAAATAAGATGAATTAGCAGGGCCTAGATCTCTCCTGGGTTTCAGGTGCTGCTGGATGCAGGAATGGAAGTGAGTGATGTACGGGAGTTCAGGATGTTCAGGATTGGTCTTCCGTCTGTTGTTTAGATGTGGCGTGCTCCACAAGGCTTCCATGTGCTGGAGGCTTGGTCCTCCGTGTAGTTATGTTGAGATACGCTATGTAAGCTCTCAGAGGGAAGGACTACCAGGAAGTCCTTGGATCAACGCAGGAACCCACTCTCAGGAGAGAAATTAATGTAGTTCTCATGGAATCGGCGAGGTCTCGCAAGATTAAATTACCATAGAAACTCGAGCCCGATCCCTGGATGTTCTCTGGATTTCTAACATGAGATATGATTTATTTCTTCCTCGTGTTCTACTGCCATGATGCCAAGTGTTGTCAGGACTTTGACAAAGACCAAATCAATGGAACCACCCAAATCTGGGACTTACAGCCTCTAGGACTGTAAACCAAACAAGCTAATTTTCTTTATAAAATCCTCCACCTCAGACATTTCATGGTAGTAACAAAAGTCAGATCAATACAACCTTCTAGGGAGGCTTTTATACAGACATTAACAAATGCACAAGACAGAATTTTCTAGAGTAGTCAATGGAATGTCGTGGTAAATAAAGTTATTTATAATCAGAGATTCTCCTGCCCCCGTCTAACAGGAAGAAGCCACTGTGCTGATTATCTCCCCAGCCCCCAAAGGTGTTTCCAACAGGATGATTGTGAACAAAATTCTGATAGTGATTAAGAAGATGAATCGATTGATTGCTGTAATCACCGAGTCTTAAAACAAGGTCTTTCACCAAGGGAGGTGTACACTGCATTTGAGGGAAAAAGTCACTCAGAGAATAGATACCTACTATATTCTAAAATATATCACAATGTATTGTGAGCTCAGTTGTCCATACGCTGCCCAAATTCTAGGAGGCATTCCCATCCACACTATATCAGAATGTGACTAGGTTTGTAATCAGGTCTTCAAAGAGTGATTATGTTAAGATGAAGCATTAGATTAGGGCTTTGTTACACTATAACCAGCGTTCTTATAAGAAAAGGAAGAAAAAAAGTTGTATTTTTTTTTCCCCCAAGCCAGGCAAGTGGTGGTGCACACCTTTAATCCCAGCACTAAGGAGGCAGAGGCAGGTGGATCTCTGTGAATTCGAGGCCAGCCTGACCTTACAGAATGAGTTCCAGGAGAACCAGGACTACACAGAGAAACTCTGTCTCAGAAAGAGGAAGAAGAGGGGGAGGGGGAGGGGAAGGAGGAGGGGGAGGAAGAAGAGGAGACTCCAGGTGTGTGGTGCGTGTAGAGAAAAGGCAAGGTTATGCCACAACAAGGAAAGGTTCAAAGAGAAACTTCAGAAGAAACCAAATCTGGCATCCCTTTATGCTTGAACCTCTGGCCCCCAAACTGCGAATGAGTTTATCCTGTTTAAGCCACTCCGCCTGGGGTATTTTGCTACAGTATTCTGTTTGGGTGTGAGCTTGTCGGGGGTCAGGGTGGGGAAAACTGGACTAACACAAACAGACAGGATCCAGAAGCAGGTCAGAGAAGAGAATTTTCTTCTAGTCACAGGAGCACGAGGAAGCATTTTTGTTGGGACTGAGCCATGTAGCCCAGGTTAGCTCCGAGCTTTTGATCATCTTGCCTCAGCCCCCTTATTGGCGATTGGGATTACAGATAAGCTCTTCTGTGTCTGGCTATGAGAAAGCAAGGCGAAGCTTAGATTTGAGTGGGCATAAATAGGCAGAAGCATGGCTTATGTTGCTGTATCTACCTTTCTGCATATTCTGAATCTGAAGTTCAGTGTGTGTGGATCAAGTTAATGTTAGTTAAAATGCAACCACGGTTTCAATGTGGTTAGAGTACATTCTGCTTAAGTTTGTTTTACTGGGGATCTTTCTGGAAAATGAGAGTTTCCTTGGTAGGCAAATTCACTTTTAACATGGTGATTTCACATAAAATTAATGGAGAGAAAAAGAGTGATTTGTTCAATCCAGGTCATGGGTCAGAGAAAATGCTATCCAGAGTAACATAGCATTGTTTTGCTAAGGCCAATGGAATGCTTGTCAGTTTTTGAAACGCTTGGCTAAGAAGTTCAAGTGGCCCAGAAGTGTCCTCTGTAGTCATTTTAAAAAGTCTGCCAAGATATGAAAATGTGCTGAAGCGGTCATTCCTACACTTAAAAACAGCAAATAAGAATCGAGGGAGGGGCGGGCTGAGTGTTAGCAGGATGTTAGCAGGAGAGCCGGCTAGAAGGTAAGGAGCAGAGTTAGCCTGAGACCCAGGACAAGGGGCTCCTCAGGATGCGTCCAGGAGGCGGCAAGAACCTGAGTAAGGATGCTTTGTAAATCCTTTGTGGGGATCAAAGCAAAATCCAGGGCGCTAAGTGTCCCT